GACCTGCTGAGCTTGTACAGAATAAATATGTTACATTAAAAGAGAATATTTCTTTACTCAATATTGCAGTAGTGTACATTATCAATTTGTGTTAGGCACAGAAATCAGTGACAATGTTCATTACTTAGAACAATAAACTTCTTTCCCAAACTCATTGTTCAGAGGTATGTTTCAGGGTAGTCAACATATATTTTCCAACTTTATTTGCTTTTGAGCAATGATTGAGAACTATCCACAAATGATTGGCTTGCACAGTTAATTCAGAAGACAGTTCAGAAACAATGACATTGCTGTGGGATAGGAGTTAAAAGTCAACTAGGCTAATTAAGGATGGCTGGGAAGAAACTGTGCGTTTGAACCAGCATTACAATCCAGGAAGCTGCAGTCCTTTATTGATTTAGATACTCAATTTTAGTTTAGATACCCTGATTTGTTTAATTTACGTTCCACAACTGTTACACTGAACATGAAGTTATGTCCTCAGGTCATCTGGCTTGAATGTTTTACTACCAATTCAATGACATTATCATTATGCTCGTGGTACATCAATATCCCATTACTGTGACTGGGCAAACTGTGACAAACTCATTCGATGAAGTCTCTGTGAATATTCGGTTGTCTCGTATATGTCACCCCATTCTGTTTCTCAACTGAGTGAACAGCAGCAAACCTGTCCTGCAGTGGTGGCCCAAGGGGAGTTCGTAAAAAAAAAACTGTTTAAACCATACTTAGTGGACTTGGCTGCGATTCCTACACTGCACATTTTGGCGGGAAGAACATTTTAAAAAAAGGTATCTCAAACGTGAACGTTCTAAGATGCAAAGTGATCATGCTGCGCGAGTGCAGAGCCATGAAAGACCAATATTGGTGCTATAACTGTAAGTTAAAAAGGAGATATTATTATTTACTACAAGAGTAAATAAAGATATAAAAAAAGAACGATTGTGCTTCATCTGTCCTGCTGAAACCACATCTAGAGTACTGTGTGCAGAACGTGCCATCTTAAATTAAAACAAAAAGGATGTAACTTTGGTGGACGTAACAAGGTGTAGAGCTGGATGGACACAGCAGGCCAGGCAGCATCAGAGGAGCAGGAAAGCTGACAGAAGGAGATTCTGAAATAAATAGAGAGAGAGGGGGAGGCGGATGGAAGGTGGATAAAGGAGCAGATAGGTGGAGAGGAGATGGACAGGTCAAGGAGGTGGGGTTGGAACCAGTAAAGGTGAGTGCAGATGGGGAGTTAGGATGGTGGTTGGTCAGTCAAGGGAAGACAGACAGGTCAAGGAGGCGGGGTTGAGGCTGATAGGTAGGAGTTGGGGGTGGGCATTGGTCAGTGAGGTGGGAGGACTGGACAGGTGGGAGGAAAAACAGACAGGTCAAGGAGGCAGGGATGAGCTGGGCTGGTTTTGGGATGAGGTCGGGGGTGGGGAGATTTTGAAGTTTGTGAAGTCCACATTGAGACCATTGGGCTGCAGGGTTCCCAAGCGAAATATGAGGCGCTGCTCCTGCAACCTTCGGGTGGTATCGTTGTGGCACTGGAGGAGGCCCAGGTTGGACATGTCGTCCAAGGAGTGGGAGGGGGAGTTGAAGTGGTTCCCGACGAGGAGGTGCAGCCGTTTGTCATGAAGCAAGGGTATGTGTTCCATTTCAGAATCCCCTTCCCCTCCCCCATTTCTGAAGAAGAGTCCAGACCCGAAAGATCAGCTTTTCTGCTCCCCTGATGCTGCCTGGCCTGCTGTGTTCATCCAGCTCTACACCTTGTTATCTCAGATTCTCCAGCATTGGCAGTTCCTACTATCTCTAACTTTGGTGGAAGCGGGTTTGAGAAGGTTTACCAGACTAATAATTGAATCGGGCGTGTTTTCAATTACAAAACGTTAGCCAAGTGAGCCTTGTATCCACTATACATTTTTTTTATAGGAAATGAAGAGCAGTGTTCACTACAACATAAGAGATCCTCAGGGCTCTAACAGTATAGAAGTGGATGCTATTTCGTATTCTGGGGAGATCGACAAGAAAGAGCAAGATTTTGATTAGAGATGTCCTAATTTAAATCGTGATGAGACTTTTTTTTGTTTCTTTAAGTGGGTTGTAAGCCTTTTATACTATTTTACTGAAAACATGGCAGTATCAGAGTATTAGAGCGTTTTTTTTTTCATCAGACCGAAATAGATTCATTGTAAGAATGCGGTTGAAAAATTGTCAGGAGTCGATGGGAGTGTAGATTTGACATTTATGTCCGATCCACTTAGATCTTATTTAATGGCCAACAAACTTGAGGAACCAAATGACTTACTTCTGCTGTTCAATCATATGCCTGCAGTACATGAGCAAACACACCTCTGATTCCAAATAATACGGGAATCAAAGCTGGTCTCTGCGATTGGACTGCCTACTAGATTTTAGAAGTACAAGTACTATGAAAATACAGAAATCATCTCTGTGCGATTTTAGTATACAGCACATCAGCACACTTCATTAAGTTTGTACTGTTCCTTTCCCTCAGAGCTGCTTGACCTACAGTACCTGAGCAGCTGATAATTCCGAGGTATCAGAAATATGCAGACTAGAAGGGATATGTTGTGATCTGGAAAGGGGAATAGAACATAGAACATAGAACTGGATAGCACAGTACAGGCCCTTCGGCCCACGATGTTGTGCCGAACTTTTACACTAATCCTAAGGCCCATCTAACCTCCACCCTTACCTTATACTATCATCCATATGCCTATCTAATAGCCGCTTGAATGCTCCTAATGAAGTCGACTCCACTACCCTCTCCGGCAATGCATTCCACGCCCCAACCACTCTCTGAGTAAAGAACCTACCTCTGATGTCTCCCCTATATCTATGTCCACTCACTTTAAAACTATGCCCCCCTCGTAATAGCTACCTCCACCCTAGGAAAAAGTCTCTGGCTGTCTACTCTATCTATACCTCTGATCATTTTGTACACCTCTATCAAGTCACCTCACATCCTTCGTTGTTCTAAAGAGAAAAGCCCTAGCTCTCTCAACCTTTCCTCATAAGACCTTCCCTCTATTCCAGGCAACAACCTGGTCTGCACCTTTTCCAATGTTTCCACATCTTTCCTGTAATGAGGTGACCAGAGCTGGACACAATACTGCAGATGTGGCCAAACCAGGCTTTTGTATAGCTGGAGCATAACTTCACGGCTCTTGAACTCAATCTCTCTATTAATGAAAGCTAACACACCACACGCCTTCTTAACAACTCTATCCATCTGGGTGGCAGCTTTCAGGGAACTGTGGACATGAACCCCAAGATCCCTCTGCTCTTCCACACTGCCAAGAATCTTTCCGTTAATCCTGTATTCTGCTTTTGTCCTTCCAAAATGAATCACCTCACACTTTTCAGGGTTAAACTCTACCTGCCACTTCTCAGCCCACCTCTGCATCCTTTCAATGTCCCTTTGTAACCTAGAACAGCCCTCTGCACTGTCCACAACGCGACCCACCTTCGTATCGTCCGTGAACTTGCTAATCCACCCTTCCACTCCTTCATCCAAATTATTTACAAAAATCACAAGCAGAAGAGGACCCAGAACAGATCCTTGTAGTACACCACTCATAACTGAGCACCGTGTTGAATCTTTTCCGTCCACTACCACCGTTTGTCTTCTAAGTGTCAGCCAATTCTGAATCCAATCTGCCACATTTCCCCCTATCCCATGCCTCCTTACCTTCTGCATGAGCCTACCATGGGGAACCTTATCAAATGCCTTACTTAAATCCATGTATACCACATCCACTGCTCTACCTTCATCCAGGTGTTTGGTCACCTCTTCAAAGAATTCAGTAAGGTTTGTGAGGCATGATCTACCCCTCACAAATCCCTGCTGACTATCACGAATCAAACTGTGCCTTTCCAAGTGATCATAAATCCTATCTCTTAGAGCCCTTTCCAATAATTTGCCCACCAGTGACGT